TTTCAAGTTGAGGTTGATCTTTATGATTCTTTCATTTATTGCTTGCCAGTTCGATATATTCTTTTTGTATTTCTTCAATATAAGTATTGATACTCCTCTTTTGGCATGTTCTTCCTTATTAACTCCCGTGTGTATATGTATATATCCATCAAGATTTTGGGTTCCTTGTCCTTTTTTCTTTGTTTCTGAGAGTACAGCAAAATCCATTTTATGTTTTTTCATTTCTTGGATAACATCTTCGATTTTATTTCTAATTCCTTGTGTATTCCATGTACCACAAATCAGTGTCCGTTTTCGTTGCCCTTGTCGTCGTCCTTTAGTTCCATCCATATCCCGAGGCTTGGTTTCGGTATTTTTAGCATTACTATTTTTTCCAAGAATGAGTTGCTGGCCCATTGCTAAACCCCCTTGCTAGGAGGACCAGAATTTTCTGTCGGGGTTTATTCCCTTAGCCTATAAATAACTCACCCCGCTGGCAGACGTGTTAGCGAGTGGGGGGGGGATTAGGTAAGGAATTTGGAATTTAGGTAGGATAATACTAGGGTTTGGGCCTGGTTTCACCTAAATAGGGAGTGGAGGAAAAACCAGGAGCTCGCGTGGGCAGGGACGCTACCTCCCTGAAGTAAGTCTACCCTCTATCGGGACCATAAAGGGGTACCTACCCGCTACCCATAGTTAGACATTACTAAGAATTATTAAAAAGAAGGAATTGCAAACCATATATGGCGGAGTTAATACACAGAGTCTGTGGAGAAGGCCATATAATTTCGAATTCTATAGACTTCTTGGTGATGCAGATATGAAAACCATCAAAATAAACCACCTAAGATGGGTGGGCCAAGTTGTGTGGATGGATGAATGTGGTCTTGCTAAAATAGCCATGCTAAATAGGCCAGTCAGAAGAAAAAGACGGAGACGACCTAAATTTGGATATCTAGACGATGAGCAGGATAATTTAATGGAGATTGGAGTAAGAAAAAGGAGAAGATACACACTCGATAGAGAAGGAAACTTTTTAAGGCATGCCAGGGCTCACAAATGGCTGTACTATTAACTGATGACTACAATTATAGTTTCATGTTTAATTAATAAGGATTCTAATGTCTGCTTCTTGTAACTTGTCAAAAAAATTGACGTTTTTTAATTCTCGAGTTGTTTTTACTTTATAAATTTTTGAAAAGGTATTTATACTTTTATCCCTCCTCAGCATGAACAGACATTCAAGAAAACGGCCCTCAGTCCCCGACAGCTCGCTAGTTCCCGACCAAGGTAGCGGTAGGACTCACGGACAGCGGGTAGAGAGTGCGAAGAATCAATCCCCGGATGTAAGAGGCTACCAAGAACGACGAACGTTGCACATAATTACGTATAATATAAGAACCTTATCTAAGGATAAAAAAATGACAGAACTGGAGGAAGAACTCAAACATGTGAAATGGGATATTATAGGAATTAGCGAAGTCAAAAGAAGAGGTGAAGATCAATTCAAACTAAAATCAGGAAACATATTCCACTATAAAGGGGAAACGGAATCGACAACTGGAGGAATAGGTTTATTAGTACACAAAAAATTACAGAAAAATATACAGAGCATTGACTGCATTTCCCCAAGAGTTATGTATATAAATCTAAGACTAAATAAGAGATACTGTAACAACTATTTTGCTTACCACAGGGTAAGAATATGGGGGACAAGATTGCGCAAACAAAATAATCGAAACAAGTGCATACGGACACTCAGTTGGTTGTTGGAGAGCTGGGTCGTGGATAAGTTGAAGATATTGGGTTTTGGATTGGGGCAACTACAAAAAAAGGAAATAAAAGGTACTTATACGAATCTATTGGACAAACAGAATGAATATAAACGGAAACACCTCAAGAAATTTAATATAGGGCGCCACCTGAGGTGCCCAATCGCACCTATCACAACCACTAGTTGTAACTAGGGAAATAATTGTACAACATCAAAAATATAGAAAAAAAATATCTTTTTCAAATAAAACTCAAAATAGATAAGAGAAACAAATTAACATTTATTATTGTCTCAAACAGTTTTCAAAAATACAGCTTATAAAGCAATACAACTTACAGCAACAAAGGCATATTATATATAAATAGCTGTCCAATACAAATAAAAAGAACTTACATATCTGTTTACAAAAGGTTACAAAATTCTCTGAAATGGTTCCTAGTAGATAATGTGGCCAAATTTTATGGATATCCTTTTATAAAGAATAAAATTTAATCTTTACTACAAATCAAAATAGATTAAAAAGCAAACTGTCACACGTCAAAACAAACATTTTTAAAACAGGATAAAATTATGACATGACAGTTTAAACCAGGCCCTAACATAATATAATTACAAATATTTTTTTTTTTAAATAATTTATAAAAGAAAGCAAATTTTGTCTTTTTAAAAGAAAATGTCTATTTTTACTTTAAAAATTAATAACGTAAATGTTACCTCAGTTCACACATGTTAACTTAAACTTTTGAACAACTGGCTAACTTCTGCGGGGTATCTAACTGCACATCAACGGAAAGCTCTATTGGAAGCTGAAACTGGCACATCCAAATCAAAACTGCTCCAATATTATTCTACATGAGGTGAAAAGGGCATCTCGGAAAGGAACTGGATTTCTCAAAAACGAAAAACAAAACAGGAACTAAACTTGTTCACTGCTCAAACATCATAAATCTTCAGCCAAAATAAAAACAGTGGTTACTGGTCACTCTTTCAGAAACGACATATTACTTAGAATGAAAATTCCACCATTTTGGCGAATGAATGCCGGCTTACCACATCACCATTAAAACGACCTTTCGCTGCGAGCAATTATTCATCACTCCTTCGCTGACCCTCTCGATCTCAATCTCCGGATAGTAACCCCTCTTTTCCCCGCACAAAACCATTGCCATCTTGTCAAATCAACAAATTCTTTACTCAAATTCGTTCAAAAACTTCCGGCGTTACTGCGCTTTAGAAAAAATAATACCAATATTGCAATATTTTTCTGGGAACGTTGAAGTTAAAAAGCCATAAATTGTTCTCTTTAGCAAATACGTTTTTATTTATTGAAGAATTATTGCGTATTTAAAAATCTCTACAGACAACACATTTCTAGCGTACCAGGGGCGTACTATATAGAATCGAATTTATATTATTATTTAGACATTAAATATAAAACGCTACAATACAATCTGAAAATAATCCAGGTATACGCCCCACCAGCGATTACGACGATGACATTGTCAAAGCCTTCTATGAGGAAAGAGCAAAAAAGCAGGAACCAGCTCATTACAATCTGATAATGGGAGATTTTAACGGGAAACTCGGAAGGAAAAAGGACGAACAAGAAGTGGCAATCGGAGCTTTTGGCAAGAGATATTTGACAAAATAGCAACTATCTTAATAATTGGTGAATGTAGAAACAATTTATTCCAAACACTTCGGAAATTTGAAGAAACAGGTAGCGTTCAAGATGCCTAACGATCTGGTTGACCAACACTTAGTGATGACAAAAAAATTGATATAATTGCAGAAATGGTAGTGAACACTACTTCTTCTATAGCCTAAGTTGCATCGATCTGTTGTATCAGTCAAAGGACAGTACACCGAGTGTTGGCTAATTTCATCCATACAAATTAAAAATTGTGCACCAACTTTCAGATAATGACCCCGAGTGAAGACTAAAATTCTGTGAAAATATGTCTAATCAAATTAATCAATAGCCAGATTACATAAAGGTTTTCGTGACGAAAGTACTTTTTCCCTCAATGGAAATATTAACACACACAATGTGAGGTATTCGAGTGACACAAATCCTCACATATTTAATCAAAAACATAGTCACTTTCCAGAAAAAGTAAATGTTTGGGCAGGTATTTTGGGAAACCACATTGTTACGTCCCTCCATACATTCCTATGATACTTAAGGGAGGCGAATCTATTTCGGACTACACACAGTCTTGTATAAATCAGCGCAATAAACACTCCGTTTTATGTAAAATCATCCACTAACTTTAAGAAGACGCCCTACCAACCCAATGCACTGTGGAAGAAGCAGAAGTGTTAATTCAACATCACAGGTACTGTAATTTGATTTGCATACACACACAATATTGAAATTAATTGATAAATTTTACATTTAACCTATTTTTATATAAAAAATAATACCAGCACCTAAAAACCATTGGGACAATACAATTGTTACACACATAACTGGGTCTGTTTTTCTCAATACTAACTTAACTGCTGAAGTGTATCTGGAGATATTACATTTGACAATTGAGCCGTTAATTGAGCAAGATAATTAAGCAATTTGGAAATAATATTTCAACAAGATGGTGTTCCTGCACAGTATTATGGTGCAGTAAGGGTGGGAGTACTGGAAATCTAAGGATTACGCTATAGCACCCCACAGTGTTGACATTTTCAAACAACGAATTGTTGTAGAATTTAGTACAATTTCTCCAGACACCTTTGAACGACGCCTACAAGAGTTTAGCAAGAAGATGCATTACTGTTAATAAGTAAAAGGAGCACTAAATATTTATTAATTAAATGTGAAACTAGAATTTTAATATTTATTTAATTTATTCATCAAAATCAGCTTAAACCCAAACAATTAGTATGATTGAATAGTTATTTTCAATACCTTTCAAACAATATGTCACTTCCCATAAGATCCCATTTAAAATTATCGCTCACAGTGGCTTTGTAACGTCATCTATGACTATTAGGTCACCCCTTATGGCTAATTGAGAAACCTACATTCATGTATATCCTTTCTCCAAATTGTACTATTATAAGTATAACTAATAGGAGTTATAAAAGATATGAAGGAGACAAGGACTTTTGGTTTACAGGTTAGGACAACACTGTTTAAATAATGATGGGAAGATCTATTATAATTACTATAAAATAATATAAACAATAATAACGGTTACTGCTGCATAGAAAAGAATTCAATTCTAAAAAAAAATATTTTTTTTAGCTCATTTGGCGCTGTCACCTTCTCTTTAGGATCCGTTTTGGTGTGGGCAATCTTCAGAAGTGTGGTCCCCCAAAATGTAGCTTTGGGGACAGTCTGCGGTATTGGATCTGGTATTGCACTGATCAAAATTGCAAGAAGTTATGTAGAACATGTAGACTCTCTTGTAACAGAAAAAGCTTAAGTGATTTTGTTAATTTTTTTTATATGTTAGTGATTATGAGTATCTAATATATGTAACTTATGTGAATCTAGATTTTACTGAATAATAAATGTTTTTAACATTTCTAGTCTAGTGTTGTTTCTGAAGTGCATATGTTTACTTATATGTTATTGCAATAAATCTGCAAAAGAGATTTAAAATTACTGATTCTGCATATAGTATTAACATTGATTTAATAATTAGGGTTATCAATAATTTGAGACGTTATCTCTTATTATATTTAAATACATGTCTTATAGTTAAATATACTTCATCTAATTTACATACCGATGCACGTCATCGGCGTCATAGACCGTGAAGTCACATGATACCAACACGAAATATTTAGGCAGTAGGTGTGTTCTTTTTTAGAATCACTTTGCCGAGTACACTGGCATTGCAACCACTATACTTCGATCTGGAAATCTTACGGAGTGACAAATACTTAGTACAGGACCACAACGTGAACATACGGCAAAATTTAATTAAATAAATTTTATGTAAATTATTCAGTGTAGCTAGACAGACAGACAGTCCGCTTTAATAAAACTGTGATTTGAACTAAATACCGGGGAAACAGTATACGATAACAACATAAATCACGTTTTTGAGTAACGAATGCCTACGATTAGCTCCCGAAGAGCTGTAGTATCGAAACGAAGTGGCCGGTTTATCAATAGATTAAAATAGTTTCGCTACGATCAGTTTATCAGTAGCGTAACTGCCGTAAATTTACTTACCGTAAACTTACCTTGTTATATTTATTTTTATAAATTGTCTGTAAAGTGTTTGAGTGGTTATTAACAATTTATTTATATCGTTTGTATGTTAACTTTGGTAAGTAGATATTTTCAATCACTTCTTTGTGAATTCTAAAATTTTTTATTTAATACTGGCAGTCAACAAAACGATAGTGTTGCATACGGATTTTCTCTGGGTGTAAAATATTGTAATGTGAAACTACTAATGTGAAATATTGTAATGTGAAAGACATTTAGATAGCTCTGGGATTGGCATTTTTAATTATGAACAATAAGAGGTTATTCATTTGCAAAATTAAGGCATAGGTACATTGGTCGTACCTATGATTTATATATATTTATACCTAGCAATTTGATCAAACTAAATAGAAATGTATGTTTTGTATTAATTAATAAAATATTGCAATTTTTTTTAAAAAATGAGAGGAATTTTAGTTTTTATTTAAAAGATATGGTCTTGGAGTCATCTTGCAGCCTGTGTTGTCCACTTCCGAGTATAGGCCTCCTCTATTCACTTCCATTTTTTAATATTTTCCACTTCTTTCATTCATTCATACTGTAAACAAGGTTTGGCACGATTTAAATGTTACAAGCAGTAGGCAAGCATTTGTTGATGGATTATCCACAGGCCTTGTGGCACCATCAGGTAAAGGTCGACTTCTAATTATCACACACATTGGTAGTGAGTCTGGTTTTCTTCCTGGTGGACTTTTATGTTTCGAGTCAAAAAAATCTGGTGACTATCATGAGGACATGGACGCTCAGAGATTTGAAACTTGGTTTTTGTCCATATTACCAACAATAGAACCGGGTTCGGTAATAATTTTAGATAATGCTCCCTACCATAGTCGACAGGTAGAAAAGCTCCCAAGAACAAGCTGGCGCAAAGGACAAATCAGTGATTGGCTGGATACGAAACTAATCGCTTATGAAAGATCAATGATTAAACCTGGGTTGTTAAATATTGCACGACAACATAAACATAAATATCATAAATATGTTGTTGACGAAATGGCTCTTAGTCACGGAGTTCTTGTTCATCGATTACCACCATATCATTGCGAGCTGAATCCAATTGAATTGATTTGGGCACAAGTGAAAACAGAGGTAGCACGTCGCAATACTACATTTAAATTATGTGATGTTAAAGTACTATTCGATGAAGCTATACGTAACGTTACCGCAGACAACTGGCGAAAGTGCATCGGTCACGTGGAGAAAATAGAAAATAAGATGTGGGATGTAGATATACAGGTAGATGTAATTATGGAACCGATTATAGTCCAACTTGATGACGAGAGCGATGATTCGGATAATTCTGATTTTGAGTAAGAGTGAATTTTGTAATTTAAGCCATTTCTTGAGTACATTCCAAGTGGTTTTCACAATTAATTTGCCACAATTAATCGTGACAAACAAAGTTTGGCACGATTTAAGTATTAAAAACACTCGACAAGCGTTCCTTGAAGGTCTCTCTACGGGTTTAAAAGCACCATCAAGCAAGGGCCGACATCTAATAATAACACATATTGGTAGTGAACATGGTTTTTTCCTGGAGGACTCTCAGTTTTTGAATCCAAAAAATCTGGAGATTATCACGAGGACATGGACACTGAGAAATTTGAAACTTGGTTTTTGTTCATATTGACAAAAATTGAACCTGGCTTAATAATCATTTTAGATAATGCTTCCTATCAAAGTCGTCAAATAGAAAAGCTTCCAACAAAAAGTTGGCGAAAAGGAGAAATAAGTAAATGGCTAGATAGGAAAGAAATTGGGTATTACAAGTCTATGGTTAAGCCGGAGTTACTAAATATTGCAGGACAGCATAAACAAAAATTTCTAAAATACGTTATGTACGCTCTTCTACGAAGCCATAAATAACGTTACCCAAGAGAACTGGCAAAACTGCATCTTTCACAGGCAGAAAGAAGAAGAAAATATGTGGAATTTAGATATACAGGCAGATGTCATTATGGAACCCATTGTCGTTCAACTTGGTGCAGATAGCGAACACTGAGACATTTCTGATGTTGATTAAAAGTAAGTTATGTAAAATTGATTAATAATTCAGTTTGAAAAGTATTTTCGTAAGTTTTCACCAAGAACGTAAGATGGAATTTGATTGTGTTGTTGATATCTTTGGGAACACACACATGTATTGTTTGATGATGCCGATTAATTTTATTGCGAATTTTATTACGATTCTTTTATTTGAGCCCGAAAATAATATAATAGTAATTCATTTATTTGTATAAAAATGTACTATTTAATATACTAAATTTTAAAATTTTATTAGTCTATTTTAAAAATATTTTTGAGGTACTTACAAAATTAAATATTAATATTAATAAAATGGCTGTAAATATTTATCCAAAAACCTCGACGCCTATGATCTTCCTCACGTCCTTCCGCTCGACACCGTAACTGTCTATACTTTAAAAATACGTCACTCCGTAAGATTTCCAGATCGAAGTATAGACATATTTTATTATATATACGTAGAAATAATATTTATAGATTTCTATTAATGTTAACTTAAAGAAATGCACAATAATATGTTTCATTTAATTTGTATAAATGCATTATAAAGCGTTTTCATGAAGAACATTTGTTCGGAACACACTGTAATCGAACGAAGGTGAAATTTTGGCATAAATTGGTAACACTTATTTGACAGTTGCGGTGTTGACACTTTTTATACTTTATTATTTTGAATTTTAATGTGAATACCTCTTATTTTATATTTTTAATTATTTAATAAAATCTGTGCTTTTTAGAACAAAATTAGTGTGTTTTATTTCAAAAATGTCACGTAAGGATTTAAATAGCCGTTTTAAAGAGATGGTAATACTTTTGCAATAAGTATGTGACCTATTTGATTTAAAAGTAGTCAGGATTTTTTTATACTTTGGCAACTATGTCAACTTCGATCTCTGTCAATGATGACATTGCATCTGTAAGTAAATTAGATGAAGTATACATGAGTATTAATATATTGTTTTTTGAGACTTCTATCTTGAATGTATGTATATTATGCTCTCCACAGTTATTAAAAAAGTATTATATGCAACTGATATGATAAGATTTAGAAATTGTTTACATTGGAGAATTAATTCTTGAATGAATAAAATTGGAGTTAGTAAATATCCCCAAGCAATATTTACTGAGAAAAGTCTATAGGGTATGTGGTTGGCCTTTTTATTTTCCTTAAAAAAACTAGTCATTGTAACTTTCTCAAAATCAACTTGGCAGTTTATTTATTTCAATACTAGGTAACCTTACCATCAAAAGGTCCAATTAGACCACTTCAAACTCAACATCATGACTTATTAGTTTGAGTATTGTTAAACTTTTGTAATTACGCTTTGTCAACACAGGGGGGATATATGGAATATACGATAAGGACATTAAAGGAGGAATATGAGCTATTGGGACTTGAGATAAATATGTGTAAGGCCGAATACCTGTGTATTGGATCCGAGGTAGCAGATTTAAACAACTTAAGTTTAAAGAGACTACTAAGAGTTGTAAGACTTTTAAGTATTTAGGGTCAGTTATAAGGCGAGATGGTACTTGTATGAAAGATATAGAAAGAATGAACACTTAAACCAAAGAAAACAAAAAAAGAAAAAAGGATCTTTCAGAGCATAGCGGTGACTATTACCCTACATGGAGCATAAGTATGGCCAATGACAACATCAATACGAAATAAAATAACAGTTGAACTGGACTTTATATGAGACGATGTCTACAAATTACCAGAGCAGATATAATAATAACAGAGGAAATATGAAACAGAATGAAAGTACAATGCTCAATTACAAAAAAGTTGAAAAACAGTGGAAAAACAGAGCCCTGCAGTGGTATGAGCATGTACAAAGAATGCCAGAGCACAGGTGGCCGAAAAGAATATTGAAATGGCACCAGCCGGGAAGAAGACCTGCCACAAGATCGAAAACATACATAAGAAATGTTATGATAGTATTATGTTAGACGCCGGTCACCGACCTGTGACCTTCCCGAAGATTCGAGCGTCGACAGGAATATTTCCAAACCCTTCACCGCTAATGGTAAAGGCTTCAAAACGGGTTGCGATGAATCGAGAAACAACTATCGAAGGTAAAAAAAACCGGCCCACATTCTTCTAGCAAAATTAAGGGAACTCTAGGTTAACGGAACTTAATATAAATACAGAAATAATTTAGATTCAGGCAGTCG